GGGAGTATATACTACTGAAAACATACTGAATATTTTATTCCATTTCTGTCAATGTAGCCATCTAAATCCTACACACTGGACCTTCAATAAATTTCTGCATTCTATACGTTTTTCTTGATTCTGGACTGAAACCTACCTGCCTCTCACCCCTTTGCTCTCCTCGCAGCCTCCTCCATCATTCCATTCTTCCCGAGCACTCTTTCTGCCCGGCTGTCCTTTACAAGGCCCTGTCGATTTAATGTGACGGACAGAGGAGATGAGAGAGAGAGCGTTCCTCTGACAGCTGTAACACTCTGCCTCCAATTGACCTGGTCCTCTGCTACCACAGTTAGTCCCGTTTATGGACAGCTGAGGTCCTAACTCTTATGTACAAGGGAATCAGACAAACACAGGGGAGGAGGATGCGGGAATATAATTTCATACACTTGGATAAAACAAGCTCCCTGCCTGTGCCAATGAATATGCAAGACGTACATGCACAGTGTATATCAAAGATTCTGCAAGTCATTAAAGGTGTAATTTGGAAGACTGCACATTTTGCTAGATTAATATCCATAAATCATTGCCAGGTTAATTTTAAGATGTTTCCAAAGTTGCTGTAAACATATGCAAGTAGTGCTGAGTACAAACTCAATCAGCCTTTCAACGTTCTCAATCTTTCTTCCAATCATGTTTAAAGTAATTTACTTTAGGAGAAACATCCATCTTTGTTCAATCTCTTCTGATATCCTGCTTATTAACAAACAAATAAAAAGACAAGCTGAGCTAAAAGCACATCCTTCTTGGTAAGGCAGAGGTGATAACCAATAGCCAATCAGGGTGACACCTGTTTCCAGTTAAGAAGATTTTCCACCACTCTTCCTATTAATTTCATTAGCACCAAAAATATTAACTTGGCACATCACATTACAAATAAGTGAAATACACAATACAGAAGATAATCAAACAAACAAATAACACAATGTGTTATCTCGAGAAGATTTTTAAATGAAGTCGTGATCACAAGAAATTGGTTTGGTGTCTCAAGATAATGAGCTAATTAACTTCTAAAGATAAGAGGCCTAAAAATGGTTAGCCATCATGCTAACCCTTGGTTTCCAGAGCCCACATATCAGACTTTAAAACACTGAAATTGATTGATTATTCCAAGTGAACCAGCTAAGGAAAATTTAAGAAGCTGGTAACTCATTTTAAAACCCTTGTAAATAAATTGCTCCGTTGGAAAAATGTGTTCGGTGTTAGGTTTTGTGTTTTGCCCTTTTAGTATTGTTATCTGTCTAGTTTTGTTTTTTATCCATTTGACAGTTTTATGTTGTTTTGTGGGCAACTTTTTATGGTCTTGCCTTATCCAGGTCTTCTTTGCAAAAGTAGATTCCAACCTTGAAGAGACTTCCTTAGGTTAAAAAAAAAAGGTTGAACAAAATCTATTAACCAGCAAAGTAAAAGCGAAGAGCGTATTACACGTGAGATCTAAAACACGGTGGTGCACATATGGGTTCCCTGCTCATTACTGGGAGCTGTAATTGTGTTAACACTCAACTAATCACATTCCAACACATACACAAATTTGATTGCTATTCAAGTGTATCGAGTAAAGTGATTGTAATCAGATCAATTAAAAACAGGACCTCACTTAAAGTTGCCGTGTACAAAAAGAGGTGAAATGCTTCCACATGATTAGGTTCTGAAGGGCTCAAAAAACACCATAAACAACCTTGATACATGTTTCCTCCAGCCATAAACCTGCTTTTACAGCAACAGTTTTCACACATGTAAGTTGCATATTATGACCTCAGTACACCTGGAGGCTTTAATATGGCAGTGGGCTAGAAATGCATGCTCTGATAAACCCGCAGCATGACATGCGCCCACCACCTAGCAGCAAACAAGACAAAGTTCATGGCTGGCTGTTGAAGAAAAAAATGCAACATTTAGTAGTTAACGAGATTTTTCTTTCTCATGAGCTGGTGGAGACCAAAACAAAGCTAAAAGGCCAAAGTAATATCAAATTTCCAGAGCACCCAGTAGCTCATTGAGTAGAGCTGAGCCGGCATCACCGATTTTCAAATGCAGTGTCCTTGCCGCTGTGGCCGTGGGTTAGACTCCAGCAGCCCTTGCTACATGTCTGATAAAAATTCTAATAAAAACTGATGTTGTGGGTTCTTGATGAATGCTTGCAAACCCTTACTGAACATCCATGCATCCGACAATTATTCGGATGGACCTTGATTTCAGCAGATTTCCACCTGAAGAAATATGTTTGACCAATGATGCAATACCTCCAGTTCATAGCTAGCTTGCTGCTAACAGCCATATAAAGGACAGCATGTGGCTGGAGATCCCACAGCAGTTTCTAATGTTATCTGTTGGTCATGAAATGGCATGAGCCACAACAGATAGTGTTAGCATCAAATTTGGGATCTGATTAGTTTTTGTATTGTGTGGTTTACGTTAGCCCTGCTGAGATTCTCTTGTCTAGAGAGGTTTTTGTTTAGAAAGTGGGACATTTCACATCATGAAATGTGTGAAAGGTAAAACACAGCAACGTGGATAATTTGCACCAGTCCGTATTCCTGCAATGCATGTAGCAAAAGGCCGCAGTCATCCTCTCTCTCCCCCTTTCACGCCTAAATACTGTCTTATCGAATGAACGCAAAAGCAAAAAAACAAAAAAATCCTAATATTAAATTAACATTCGTATGGTTGCCAGAACAGCCCAGTCACTGGAAAAACATGTTGGCATTTCTGCAAATGTTTCATACATATGACGTAGTTCAGATTACATGTATATGAGCAGAGTTTCTTATAAGGAGGAGGAGGGGATGGTGGATGGGTTTTTTTAAAGCTGGTATTTTTTAACAACCTTTCGGGATGTTTCCTGCCGTGTTTGTAACGAACAAACTGGGTATTTTAGGTGAAAACATTATCTTCTCCTAACCATAACCAGATGAATTTCGTGCTTAAACCTCACCAAATATGAAATTTACAAATATAAGATATCTGTGGTTTGTAGAAATGTGCAAAAACATTATCCTGTTGGCTGGGTTGGCCAGAAACACTTTGTGTCTGCCTGATGTATAAACAGGAAATTAGTCAGTATATTAGAAGTCCATTAGGCACAGTAGGTGGCGACTTTTTTCACTAACATGGCATGTCCTTTTGATAACGATCCCGTGGATGAAGGTGCAGCATTACTGCGCAGAGTATTAAATATTCGTCGGAAGATGGTTATCAGACCGCGCATAGATGTTCTAGCATTTCCACACAGTTATCTTTTTGAGCGGTACCATTTCACGTCACAGTCCATCATCTACACAACCTAATCCGTCCTTACATTTGCAACATTACCAATCGTTGTCATGCTCTCACATCTCAGCAGATATTGTGTGTTGCGCTGCGTTTCTTTGCAAATGGAAGTTTTTTGTACAATGTCGGAGACGCTGAGCACTTGAGGAAGGCAACTGTATGCAGGGCGGTCAGAAAAGTGTGCTCTTTTTAGGGGCATCTGCCTTCTTTCTGTTGGCTGAGTAGAAGTCTGTGTTAGTTTAAATAGGCTTAATTATTTAACAGAACATGATATAGATGAGAAGACATTTATGTGTGTGAAAACAGCATTATGTTGGGGATACAACAACTGCACAGTCAAACAGCCACTTAATATTTACTTTACAATGTAAAACATGATCAGAATGAGGTACCCCCCATGAGATTATGCCAAGGTCTTACCTGTTTGAACAATGTTTTTATATTTCATCCTAAACTGCTGCCAAGTGCGCTTCTCCCCTGCGGGATTGCACCTAAATGAAATAAATTCATAGGCTACCATTCAAGCAGTTTTCCCCTGTAATATTATTGTGATTGCAAAGGACTATATTTAAACTTACGCACTGACCCGAGCAGCAATGTTCTCCCACGCCGTCTCCCTCTCTTTTGCAGCTGCAGCGTGTTGCACTTCTTTTTGAAAACGTGTGCAAACTCGCCGTATGAGCGCATTAAGATTTCTAATTCTAGTGGGGTGAAAAACGCAGCCCTCCTCTTCCCCGTTGCCATGGTGACTCGTCGAATCGGGGCTCCATTGATGCTGGCTTTTTATAGTTGTGGTGCACGCGCTTAACTCCAGGTGAAACTACTCCGAGTTGATTAAACTGATTCAAATCAGCTGTTCTGGAACCAGAAACTCAGAGTTTCCTATCTCAGAGTAGATCAACTCAGAGTTCAGGATTTGACTCAGAGTTTGTTGAACCTGCTTTGTGAAACGGACCCCAGTTTTACTAGGCAATAGCATGTCACCTGCTGCCTAGTGGCCAAAAATGAATTAATTCAGCTTTAAAATGACGCAATGCTCACAGCTGTAGATTTAGTCCACTTCCTTTAAAAATACCACAGTAACAGCATAGATGGATTATGAAACATATGGCCTTTGGACCTACATGCATAAAAGCCTGGAATTTCTTTAGCAGGGGCTTTGCTATTGACATGAATGACCTTTGGGGTGGGCCTTGGGGCCCAAGGTCAAGGCCCGTTCAGTAGTACATCCATGAGTAATAGCCTTCAGTTGTTCTGAAAAAGCAATAAAAGAAATTCTCTAGGAGATATTTTCTATAGCGTAGGCTGATGGGAGGGAAATTCTCGCAGCAACAAGCAAGACAAGGATAGTTGGCAATAGCATCAACATTTGTCTGTTGTCATGGATCTGAAATATCCCATGTTTGACATTGTCTGTCTCCCAAAAGACCCATAACCTCTGGCTGTGCTCGACAGGTGTAGCAGTGACCCTGCCAAGGTTGGCACTTGTGGGCCCAACCATGCTAAAAAATTATGAAGCTCCAAAATAACCAATATTAAAGAAGTATATAATACATACTGTAATAAATACAGCTGTATGTGAGTAAGTAAATAAATACATGGTGAAAATTGGCTCTAGTGATGGCAACACCAGCCTGTCAGTCGGTCCTCCACTTGAATCGTTCAACACTGAAATTAAATTATGGATTGCCATGACATTTTGTACACTTTTATTTTCAAGTCTTTTTATATCATTTTGGGGTATTATTCCATGACACTGGGGCTGTACATTCACTTCATTAAAAGCACTGCCACACAGAATGTACAACATTAGTGAAACAGATCTCCTTTGGTCACATATCTTTTAAATACTGTTTATCATCTTACTTTCCACATTGAAAAGTATGAACTTTAAAAAAAAATTCTGTAACCACTGTGGTAAATTGATTTTACATCTCAGTGGACCGCTGGCTCGCATTCAAGCAGCCGTGTTATTTACTTTCCATGATGTGGGTCTCAGTATTCTCGCGGAGATGTGTCAGGGCCACATTAAGTCATTCCTGCACATTCTCAACCACTTTCCATCCACTTCACACAAGGTCAGCCCCAGAATCATTCAGCAGCGTATCTGTATTCATCACATCTCCATGCACGGCAAACAAGCTACCTGCGGACCGTCGGCAGCGCAGTGTCATCTCCCCAGCACACGGCCTGTGCCTCCTATTCACACGCTATCATTTGATTCTGAGTATTTCATTGTGAGATTTGTATTCTTGGCCTGAACCTGATCTGTCCAGCTCAATGAGATTTTGCCTGCAAATGTGAGCTACTTTTTCTCGCCATGGTTAGGAGCAGGCTCCCTGATGTCAATTCAGACACTGTTGATAAAATACAGCACTGGCTCTGCCAAGGTTGGCATGGTGGGGAGCAGGTTTCAGGTGTGTCAGCTGGGATCGTCTTCACGCTTTCAATGATCTGTTGTTGTGTCTTACATTTGACGTGAGACATGAATGCAACTGAGGCAAAAGAGATGAGTGTAAGTTCATTTTACTTTTTCGCCATGGCCTTGGTGGAGCCGACACAGTGATTGTGAACAAGACTGAGTAAACACAGAGACAGATGGAGGGGTGGAGGAAAGAGGGGAGGAAGTGAGAAAAGGGAGGGAGGGGGGGAAGACAGGTTTGGATAAGGAGGGAGATGTGGGTCAGAATGGTTCATTGTGTGCAGACTTCATGGCCACAAGGACACCTTCCCCTTCATAACAACAACACACACACATACACTCAAGGCCACACACAGTAAATCAATAAAAACTAAAATAAAATCAGCAACTTCAACCTCTGCACCACCTGAAGGTAATCCAGGCCTGTCAGTGCAGACTGTGTGCCGTTTAAAGCATCATCAGCTTTAAGATTTCGGCAGTGTTGAAGAAATAATACACCAAACAAAATATAAATCTAAATTTAATCAATAAATTTGTCTAAATTTAATAAAAATGTACAATTTCATGTTTCTTTATGTCAGAAAAACAAGTGCTGTCTTGTTTTAAGTGCTTCACTCTCACAGATAAAATCCTCCAAACAGACCAAAAATATTCAGTAGTAAAGATGCGAAGAGTCACCATTTTCTTCATGTAACTGTCTGTTTGTGACACACAGGTGAAGAAGAGAAAACCCGTCTCAGCTCATAGTCAAGGTTCTATTAATATTGTATTTTCTGAGTCCATGACTGTCAGTCTGATCTCTCTAAGAAGCAGGTACAAAGAAAGCAGGCTTTTATTGTTGAGTCCTCTGCTGTCCGAGGTTTCTCCTTTCTGAGTCTCCAGTTCTGGTGTCTGCATCTCAGATTGTGCCATCAAATTAAATCCATCAGTTTCCTCTGCATTTAGAAAGTATCCAGGAAAAGCACTTCATCCAGCGGGATCACCAGTCTTGTCTGATTTGTTTTTAAAAGTTGTTGTTTTCCATGAAAAGTTCAAGGACACCAGCTGGTGAAAGGGTACAGAATGCAGTGGACAGTCTTAAACCTGCGGAGGACAGAAGTGATAAGTAATAACTCACAGGCATGTTTGATTTTAAAAACGTTCTCACTGTTAAGAGCAGATTTTTGTCCAAATAATTATAAATTCACAAACAATTTTGTGGGTTCTTGATGAATGCTCGAACAACTGCTGAACATTCATGCAGGAGGAAAACTATTCGGATGGACCCTCAGCAGATTTCCACCTACAGAAATAAGTTTGAACAACAAAATCCTTTGTTTCAGCTAATGTCACACCTCCAGTTCAGTTTGCTTTGGTACACTTTTATTCTGTTTCCACTGTGTAAAGTTTTAGATGGTACGAATGAAACCGTTCCTAACTGTCACCTTTTTGGTCCCCCCTCTGTTGGGGTACCTAGCACACAGATCGGTACTAAAAGATGGAGGTAAAAACACTTCAGTCTGATTGGTCAGTAGAGGACGGTCACTCTGCTCAGGGCTGAGTTGTGTCTGGTTTTGAGGCTCATGTAACCACTGTTCATACTGTAGAGAGTTTTATTAGTAAACTGCAACTATAAAATAAAGGATGTTTCACTGCCTCTCACAGCAGCTGGAGTCTGAGAAAAAAATAACTTCATTCACTGGGCCGACTGCCGGCAACTTTTAAGGTGGAACGTTTACTTGTAATGTTACTCAATGCATGAGTTGACAACATGAATCAATCAGAACACCTTAAATTTAAATATGACAACTTTGATCACTACTTTAGTTTTTATTCTCTCTCTTGGATGACATATACGTTTAGTAATGAATGGATCTGTGAGAGTTTAAATATATATTCATTTTGACCAGATTATGTGAACTGCATATATTGTAAGAAAAAAAGTGTTTTGGAGCGTACTTCCTGTGGGCTCCGGCAACACTAAACCCCTGAGCTTGCCTGAGAAGGACTAACCCCCAAATTCCACCAGATGTGTGTGGGTTGCATCTGTGCTCCGGAACGGCAGTGGAGCCGATCCGTTTCGATTCTAGTCAATGTGTGTGCTTCCACCGGCTGTGGCGCTCCGGAGCCCTCCGCAACAGATATGCAGGACTTCTATTTTTGCCGGACGCTGGAGCACAATGCAGCAATTTAGCACAGAGCAGATCGTGCGGGGCAGGAAGTCGTGCACAGAAACAAAAAAAACCATCCGGTTAATTTTCAAAATAAAATAAACAGTGTTCACTGTGGATCATATTTCCCTTCACTACACCTTGAAAACGTCATAATGGGCGGAGGCAGGCCTGAAGTCAACAGGTCAGAGGTTTTCAGACGTCATTTCACCCTGTTGACACCATGGATGAGGAGATGTTAATCATGGAGGTGCACCGAGATGTCTTCCTACTAGGCCTCTGGTTTTGTGGTTCTGTTTATAGAAACTACATCTTGTTATATCGCGCGATTATGTGCGAATCCGTGAGATCTCGTGGGTCCTCATGACTCCCGCTGTCCGGAGGAGCTGCACCGCTCCGCACAGCAAATGCAGCCGGTGGGTGTTGACGGACAGCGGAGCACGCAGCAGATAACCAGTGCAGCCGTTCCGCAATGGACATACATCCAGTGGAATTCTGGCGTAAATGCACAAACCCACTATTTTCAAATATCCCATGGAAAGAGACTCTCACTGCAGCCTGTGCTATTTCGTTCGGAAAATACTGGTGTGCAGCCTCGTTCTGTGGACGATAAACGAGGTGCAGACTTCCATCTGTGTCGCCAGTGATGAGGAAATACAGTGAGTGCTGGACAGAGCAGTGAGCGCGAACCCCGCCCACATTTAAGAGGACTGTTTGCAGTGGAAACGCTAAACAGACCTGGGTCTAGGTGCCATGTCTGAAGGGTTACTGTTGGTTCCAAAGGCACTACACCGAAAGTGTTTGGTGGATACGGGGCAAGAGCTATAGCCCGATATCATGCAACAAACAACACAACTACCTCAACAACCATGTAAAGAACAATATATGGCTGGAGATCACAGAGCAGCTTCTACATTTTATATTATATAGGCCTAGTTCACATGTATACAAGGTTGGTTGGTTAAGCGAAAATATACTTAGTTATGCTTACCAAGTTTTTGGTAGCTTTTGTTAAAGGGACACTGTGTAACATTTTCATTTGTTTATTGGCAAAAATTGATGTCTGCATTCATAAATATGTCATCATTGGTGTATTATTACCTCCACCAATAATCTGACATATTCTCATAAAAGGAGAATTTCAGATTTGTTTGTACATTGTGCAGGTAAGACGTCTGGGGGGTTCCATAATGTTTTGCCATCTTAAGAACACATCCGCCAGCAAGGGCCATACAGTCCCACCTTCAGCATTTTCGTTGAGAGCCAGGCCAGCGTTGTGTGACTGAGAAGCCGAAGGAGAGGAGCAAGAGGCGCTTCGCTACTACCCCAGCACTACTGCAGCATAACAAAGCCCCACTCTTTGAGCATACAGTAATGCAGGATCATGCATATGCAGCATCACGGGAGACAGGATCCTCGTCGCCAAGAAAGCGAAAAAGGGAATCAAAAAGGCAACGTGACCAGCGTGGAAAAAGCTACTGAAGGAGAAAGGTAATACAATCACAGTGGCGCTGGCCGCTAACAGCTGTTAGCCGCTGTTAGCGGCGCAGTAATGCCAGGAGAGGGATGAGGTGTGAGGTTGAGCCACTTGTCAGTTGTCAAAAGACAAGACGTGATTGGTTTGTTTGGATTTACACCCGCCCCAACAGTCCTACGTTATAAACACAGCCAGCATGGTGAGGAGGGGGTTTGTCAACTCATGTCACATGTGTCTGTGTAGGAGCCTGAATGAATACTCCATGAAGTATCGGATGACATGGTTTCATCAATGTCATCATAGCTTTTTGGTACACAGCGGCTACCGTTGTTGCAATACACGTTTGAAACAGTGAGGCGGTAGAGTGTGCTATCCTTTGAATGCACATTAGATGGGAGAAATTCCTACACACTGTGGCTTTAAGATTAATTTTTGCCTTTTGTTTGGTAGTGACAACGTAGAGGTGAAATAAGAAATGAGGAGATGACATGCAACAAAGGTCAGACTCAGACCAAGGTCACTGTGATGACACAGTCAGCATCTTAAACCCACTAGGCCACCAGGATGTCCTAAAGTGTTCTGTCACACAAATAATATTATGTCATTTAAACAGGAAAGTACCTTACAGAAATTAAAATATCATGTCCTGGCCAAGACATGTAAAAAAAGAACCTAACCAGAGTCTGCAGTGACCTCAGTGACATATGAAGATGGAAAAAGCAGAATCATATCCTCAGAAGCCTCAACAACAAGCACTCCAGCACAGCTACAATAAAAGTAACAGGAAAGAACCACTGTTGTTTTATTTCATATTACGTAGTCTGCGCAGTGAACTGTGGGGTCTGTGGGTTTGCAGTGTGTGTTAAAGGGGACATTAAGTTATCTGACTTTGTAATGTCCTCTATGTGCAGCCAGTGGAGACTGCGACAGCACTGATACAGATGATCTGCTACTACAAAAGGAGAGAAAGCTTAAGCGGCTAAAAATAGTCTGGCAGACGCATCTAACGAAGATGTCACACAGTAATACAATAACACTGGAATATTTATGCTTCTTATGATTTTTACCTCCGGCAAGGAGATGGTGTTCTTGCTATTTGTTTGTCTGAAATCTCAAAAAGTTGTTAAAAGTTTTTAGATGAAAATTGGTGGAAAGTAAGTCATGGACCAAAGAAGTTATTAGTATTTTGTATGGATCCTGGTATGTTTTAATGACTTAAATCAATTCTGCATTTATGGCCTGGAGATATTCTGTTACATCTGCTTTTATTATATCATTTTTGGGGGGCTAAAGTTGCAAATATTGTTTCAGGCACAGTTTTAGTTGGATTTCAATTTTTTTTCTTTTCTTATTCTCATGGTATATAATTTAACTTGAATGACAAACATCTTGCACACCTGCCATTATTGCATGTCCATGTACATTTATTTTTACTATTTTATTATATTTCTGAATCTGCTACATTCTTCACCTGATTTCTTTCCAAAACAAACTTAATCTCCACAGATATACCTGGGTAAACAAAAGATAATAACATATGGAGAAAAACCATCTTTGTTTGTACAGGCAGATGAACATGAGTTGTGCTCTTTAAAGGCTGCAGCGATGTTGAGTGTAACTCTGTGCGGCACCGGCGGATGGAAACAAATGGAAAAGCTCACTGAGGAGTGCTTGTGGTGATATGTTCTTACAGCTGGGGATGCCGAATACTGGGAAAGACAAACACATCTGTTGTGTTACATCAAATTGCTTTTATCTCTGACTGAACATAGAACATGATGAACTGGAGTTACAGGGGCGTCACGTCTTCAGGTCGTATCATCTGAGCACCAGAACTGAGCGCTCGGGGTTTTAAAAGCACAGCAGCTTGTAGTTAACAAGCATTTTGCCATGAGGATGAACTACTTATGCATTTGATTTCTTGGTTATGGGTTTTAAGTGTTTATTTCCACATTTAGACTTTCAGGATATGGAACAGAGTTGCATCCATTCTCAGTATTTTTCTGTCTTACTAGTGGCGAAGTCAATCAGTCTCTGCAGCGCTTTGGTCCAGAGTAAGATAATGACAACTCGTCTATATGATATAAATGATATAGTATAATCTTCATTTTGTTTTGGTGAGTCCTGAGTTTTTTGAAGCGTCACCATCACCGTCAAATTTCGCCTTGACTAACACTTTAGTCTGTGAAATAATGTCTAAATAATGTCTAGAATGCCATCCTAGAATCCTTAGGTTTGTGGCAACTTTCGGACCTTTAGTCTAGTGCCCCCATCTGGCCAAAATGTGATATTGGCACAGAGCACCTCATGATCTAATAGTTGGTAATTTTCTTCCACCTTTTCGATTTTAAGTAGTGTGTAGTTTTTACTCTAGCGCCACCCACAGGACAACTTTCACACATGTACTCTCACTAGTTGAAAATTTCTTTCTCTAGCGAGGCTAACTATGTATTATAAATCCAAAAAAGGAAAAATCTTGGAGGAAAACAGAGGATTTCAAAGTGTGTGAACAGATTAATTTGCTTTCACCACCAATGCTGCAAAGGTTAACTACTAAATAATTATAAACAGCCCACTGCAGCGTAGCCACGTTGTAAATCATATTAATGAATGCTTATTTAGAACTATTCGTAATGCTGCTAGGCAGATAGCCTAGCCTCTGAAACATTAAAGTTATCTTCCGGAGCCTACTGTAGCGTAGCCTCTTAAAAATGAACGTTATCTTCCTTGTGCGTTTCCACTTACTAGTAACGTTAACGCTACTATCTAACTTTAGCCTACTATAGCGTAGCCTCTGAAATATTAACGTTGTCTTCCTTGTGCGTTTCCACTTACTAGTAACGTTAACGCTACTGTCTAATGTTAGCCTACTGTAGTGTAGCCTCTGAAACATTAACGTTATCTTCCTTGTGCGTTTCCACTTAGTAGTAACGTTAACGCTACTATCTAACATTAGCCTACTGTAGCGTAGCCTCTGAAACATTAAAGTTATCTTCCGGAGCCTACTGTAGCATAGCCTCTGAAAAATGAACGTTATCTTCCTTGTGCGTTTCCACTTACTAGTAACGTTAACGCTACTATCTAATGTTAGCCTACTGTAGTGTAGCCTCTGAAACATTAACGTTATCTTCCTTGTGTGTTTCCACTTACTAGTAACATTAACGCTACTATCTAACGTTAGTCTACTGTAGCGTAGCCTCTGAAACATATAAGTTATCTTCCTTGTGCGTTTCCACTTACTAGTAACGTTAACGCTGCTATCTAACGTTAGCCTACTGTAGTGTAGCCTCTGAAACATTAATGTTATCTTCCTTGTGCGTTTCCACTTACTAGTAACGTTAATGCTACTATCTAATGTTAGCCTACTGTAGTGTGGCCTCTGAAACATAAATGTTATCTTTCTTGTGCGTTTCCACTTACTAGTAATGTTAACGCTACTATCTAATGTTAGCCTACTGTAGCGTAGCCTCTGAAACATTAACGTTATCTTTCTTGTGCGTTTCCACTTACTAGTAATGTTAATGCTACTATCTAACGTTAGCCTACTGTAGCGTAGCCTCTGAAACATTAACGTTATCTTCCTTGTGCATTTCCACTTAGTAGTAACGTTAACGCTACTATCTAACGTTAGAACTGTAACCTTATTCTAAAACTCATCAGTCATCACTGACTCCGGTTGAGTTTTAAAACTCCGGGGTTGCGTTTGACTGTCTTGGTTACACTCGCTCCTGTGTATCTAATGTTACCTAGCCAACGCCTACGTCTTTCACAGACATCATGAAGACGTAATGGAGGAGGGGGGAGTTGTGGATGTTCAAATTTTTTCTAAGTCCTGTGTGAAATGCAAGAAAGCTAAGAGTAGCTTTAATAGTAAAAGGTTCCTGACCCCTGATTTAAGTGATCCTTGAACAGTGGCCACTGTGGCCACAAGTTGTAATCACAGGATAATGGTAAACACTAAAACGCAGCACAATAGTAGCAGAAGTCCAGACAATTTCATTTTCAAACTTAGTAAAATTAGTTGTACTGCAACTTACACATTAACTTAGGTATTGTCACTGTCAAGTTTGAACCTTCTGTCTCTGTATTTCATTTTTTCTTTCCCCATAAATGAATGCTAATGGTCACACTTACATCTGTATGTGGCTTTTACAAATATTTAACCAATGAAAAGTTTTTAAAAAAGCTTGTGACAAAATCTCATAACTCATAACATCAAACTGTCGGCAGAACCTCAGAGCTCCACCACGCCTACACTGAATGAATGAAGTGCTGTCACCGTGCATCTTTGGTGCTGCTTATGGTGAAGCTAAAGAGTGATGATGTGATTTCTTCTGACTTCTAAATCCTCAAGTAACACTCTATGAAGGCTAATTGCCTCAAGCCTGCTGTGACTGTAGGTGTTGAGGTATGTGCTTGCTGAATTTGTGTTGCTACAGCTGCTACTGATGGTCTGGACTCTCCTAACGGTGAGTGAGGCAGAAGGATCGCAGGGTGCCGAGCTGGCTAGCTGGCTAATTCTTGTCTTTTTGTGGTCTAATAAAGAGAGAGGGACTTTGGCCAACTGATTTCCAACGACAGGAAATACTGAGCACACACATAGCTATGATAAACTTTGTAACCTGTAAGTCGATGATAATGTAATGCAGTGCACCTACTGCCTCAGATGTGGTCATTCTAATCAACACAGGCAAAGCACATATCTTGACATTTGCTGGTCAGAACCTCTGTTGTTGACTTGACGGTTGAGTATTTACCCAAGACACTACACAGAATAAGGTGGGCAGAGATATATTGCTCATATCTTCTGACTCATGAGTTCATGACAGACAAACCTGGAAGGGTCTTCCTCCTTAGAGAAGCTTCCTTTCACCTCAATGCTGTTCATCTTGTTCTCAAACATCCCGTAGCTCAGAGTCACCTGCAGTGGAGAGAAAACACGTACACACTGTGAGAAGAAGGGCATCTGTGTGTATTTCCGTGTGTGTACGTGTGTGGATCATTACCTGGTGTGGGATGCTTCTGTGGCTGATGAGCAGCAAGTTTTCCAGGTGGGAGTGGAATAAAGGACAGTGAACCATGGAGATACCCAGCCTCTTCTCCACAATGAAGCCCACTGTACAGTCGTCAGGGAGACGGATCGTCGCAGACGTCTGCTCAAACCGCGAGCCGCTGAAGCACACACGTACAAAAACTGGAGTTACTGTAGTTACATTCATACATCAGAGTACAGATGACTAAAGACATGGTGAGGTTTTGGTATACTCACATACTGTGCCTTTAAATTCTATTATAATTCTGGTTATGAAGGGAGAAATTTTTAAACGGTCTAACTTTCAACCTAAAAGGATAATTGTGCAGATTTTGCATGTTTTGGCCCATTAAGTACCCATTGCATGTACTTTACTGCTGACCTTTTCCAAAGAACACCATAAATTCTTAGATTGATTCCCTACCTTCTTGCCCTGGGCAGCCATTAGTCTCAGCTCTTTGAAAGCAGTATAAACACAAACTTGCAGAGACCTGAAACTTACTTAGATTGGTGATTCATCATTGTGAACATTTAGTCAGCTTTATTTTTTGTTCAAAGTTATGCTGCTCGTTAATGCGGTTCGGCAAAAAGAGTGTTTTGAAAATGTTGGGTGCATTGAAGAGTTTGCAGGAAAGTGTGACTTTGAGAGTTTGAGAACAAACGACAAACTTGCAGTAAGCGATGCAGACGATGTAGAAGATGTATTATATGACATCTAGGTTCACTTATCTTTTAGTCTCTCATAAGCTCCTGCCTCTCAAATGATGGTGTCTCAGCTGAATTACATCACTTTGACAAAAAAAAAATGAGGGCAATTAAATGTTCATTGTGATGGATTACCTGCAAACTTTTGCCTCAGGCCCTTTTCATTCTTTGATATTTTGAGACAGTGAAAGATTGAAATTAATAAGAAATCTTGCTTAAAATATTATAGAAATGTGTCACATTTAACTTCATGCCTTTTGGAAATCAGTTCATCTTCAACTCACTTAACTACTCACAATAAACAAAATTTGCCCAAACTTTTGCTGCCACCGTACCTTTAAGGGCTTTTTTTTCTGTTTGCATTAACACCGCCAATATGAGCGCAAAAGTGACATACTGTAGCTGACCGGCGGTTGGTATAGCAACTTCTTGTTTGCTTTGATGAGTCATCATCATCATGTCGTATTTCCACCATCGCAATTATGCTCAGTAATACCTGGACTTCACTGTCAGTCCATTTGTCCATGTTTTCTTACATATCTTTTTGTTACGAGCTGATTGTTGACACACGGTTAACAGGTTTTTAAAAATGGCTGTTGGTTGGTGATGCATTGGCTGTATTCATGCAATCACCGCACACTTATGTCACTCATGGTTCCTCTTGTACTGGGAGAGTATCTACTAAGTCTTCTAAGAGTTATTATCATTCGTAGTCCTTAGGTGCAGACCCAGCAGAAAGGAAGGTGTAATGAATAGAATTTCCTACAGTGATTGTACCTTGAAGGCATCAGTAGAGATCTCGCGGTAGTTGCAGTAACGACATGTTAGAAGACATACAGGAAGACAACTGATGTTATGTATTGTTGATAATATGATCGTGGCATATAAATAAATTACGCCAAGTGTTTAGAGCTGACGTGGTGTCCTGCATATTTGTTAGATGTCAGGCAGACATACAGCAGGTTCTTAGAACTATGAAAGAGTTCCTGTCATCACTTCATAAATACCTGGCCCATGGAGCCATCTTCTCTGCCAGCCGCCGACTCAGACAGAATCCTGCTCCTCCTGTAGCGAACCAGAACCGCACTTCCCTCTGAGTGATGACACACACACAAACACACAGATATTTACAGACACATATATGCAGACACTGTCAGGGAAACAGAAATACTGTATACTATAATAGCAGAAATGTGTGTTGTTAACCACCAAGTCAAATTTTAATGATTACAAAAATTGCCAGCGTTACCCGACACCTGGCTAACCTTATTCAGCAGAGTGGTCTGGACCACTAGAAGTTACCAGCTAATAATGTGCCAAGCCAGCATTAATACAAATAAGCCAGCGTGTCACTGAGAGAGGTAACACCAGGTGATATGATATTAGGTTTCAAAATCATGACAAAATTTGCAGTATCATCTGCTCTGAGACGCTGTGGGTGTGTATGCTGAAGGAACTAACACAAAGAAAGAACCACTGTGAAGCCACAGACTCATTAGCAGCTAATCAAGTAGCACAAAACACACACACTGAAAGAGCTAAGAGAGCTTGTGGGACGCAGCAAACTGTCCACTTACTCACAGTTGGTGAACATTAATGCCATGCGTTCTAATGTTAGCAGTAACACAGTATTTATATAGTAAGGGGTAGGGAAGGGATTATGTTCAGGATGGCTCCAGTATATGATCGAGCATGTTTTAGGCCCAACCTAAAAAAATGGCTGCCACACACAACCTGCACTTGTTTGGATCATTGTGCTCCCCCTTAGAAAATTAGCACTACACGTCTGCAAGATGCAATACTCACATGAACGTTAGGGGTAGTATGGGAGGTATGGTGATGACAAGGCAGGCTGTTCTCACAAATTTTTCACATTTTCCTACAAAAAGCAGTGCACCCAAATTCATACACATCACGTATTTTGAAAGGCTGCGATCACTTGACCATTGCACTGACTGGGGCACACAAGGAAGCAGAGTTGTAAGGAGGCAGGTTGGGCTGGTGGATGGGTCACAAAAAAATTGCCTTTCACCAGGGACTTTGCCCGTGTTTGGATCCATGTGAACTTTAAGATACGTCCTCACCATGTTTCTTTTCCTAAACCTAACCACAGTAACTTTACATTAATTAGGTAGCTGTACATTAAGGACGTAACGTTATTTGTTGGGTGCAAATTCGTAGGATATCATACAAACCATTCTATGAGAATACGTTGGATGGGGTCAGGTCAGTAGGCATGTTCGCAGTGACAACAATGACAGAATGTATTTAAAACAAGCTATCAGTCCAAGTTTACAATTGTGCATTGCCAGAACGAGAGAAACATACTCGCCATTGTCACAACATGCTCAATTTAGGGGTCTTACTGTCACTTCTTCGATTGTGATCCCAGGATTAACGATATTGTAACCTCCCCAAGCGTCTCCATGTTTATCGTTGACATCATGCTAATCCAAAAGTTCTATGCAGTGTGAGTTATCTGGTGTGCCCTCTAGTGGAATCCTGGAATTCTGTTCACGAAGGTTGTCAACCTGAGTGCGGTTAAAAAGCGTGTATATCTCCAGCCTTGCGCAGTATTTGGGTATCTGATGAGCCATTGAATTTCTCTTAGATCGTATTTCATTTTACAACCTGATCCTGCAGCACTACTCCTTCGCCAACGCAGCCTTAAACCTTTTGATCCAGTGCTATTGTCAGGCTCTACTCAGCCTTACTGCTCTTAAAGTTTCATTCTGTAATGCCATGGTGTAAATTACGTTCAACAAATGGGATGAAAAATTCTTATAGTCAGCGTGAGACATTCAGTCTATCTGACCTTCAAGTGTAGAGCTCTTTCCTATACTCCTTTACCTGTCAAGAGTTTCTTTTTGTCTGTTTATCTTCTTGTGAGTCTTGTTACCTCTCATACACACACATCCACAGTCACAGATACAAACACACACACATCTACAGTGTCATCAGTCCTAAAAATGCAGAACACATACAAAGTCTATGTGCACAAATGATAAAAATACGTACAGGGATATGACGCAGTATCTTTCACTCTGACAAACAAACAATGTGTGTAATAGATAAGAAACACAGAAGAGAAGGAGCGCCGTTCTCACTGACCCGTAATAATAAAGTGTAATACTTTTCTTTGCCTCTCCTATCTGGTTTCCCTCCAGACTTTTATTGATTGTTTGTTCCTTTACCAAACCGCCTGATATGAATTGCATGTCTTTATCTGCTAACTCTCCATCATTTCTCAAGCAGATGCGACGCTTTGTTTTTTATTTCCTGCAGTAGAACAGTTTAAGTGTGTTCTGGTCTTTTCCCGCCTGAAAGTATGAACCAAAGTCTGAACCGAGATTTGCGTCTTTCTTAAACTGTACACATTTCATTTGGTTAGTTTTGGTTTCACATTATGCCAGTGCACTAAAGTTCTTTTTCCCACACTTCAGAACTATTACATGACATACCTATGACATACTTGCAATTGATAGGTCTGTAGACAGGCATGTTTCTGACGTCAAAGTGTTGTCAATTCAACTCGTGGCTTTCTATTGTAGTTTAAATTAAGAAAAATGAGTGAACAGATTAATTTCATTGCTGCTATAATATTACTAGCATGGCATCACTACTAGTCACAGTTTGATATCATATTGATTATTTGGACAACAATGCCGTACTTGCTGATATCAAAGTTTCTACCATGATACGATATGATTAGATTCAATTCAAGGGCCCATGATCAAAATTAATTGATATCAGTAAATAGCCGCATGGTCTTTTTCTTGACTGCTTACCAGTGTCTGCCTGGTGCCAGGTCACTAGCACTGTTTGAATGCTTAGGAAGGAGGTGTGCTTGGATGGAAAAGTAGCACAGATGGGCATATGGATAAAAAGATTTCACCTTGTACTGATTATATTGGATCATTGATCACTGAGTTGATATATCGATCCAGATCAATATATCATTCCACCCCCTGGTAACTACCAGCAGCACCTTTGCATACTGCTACAGCAGTTTCTTGATCCTCAGGTGGCGTTGTTCCCTCTCGCATCCTCTTTTTCTCATCTTCTCGGAAAATAATTTAGGAATGTCTGAATTTTTGTGAGTTTTCTTCAACTTACACTTAACAAAGTCGTCTGATTTCCTCTCCCCATGCACTACTGCAGCACATTGTGTTTTGCTGCGCTGTTTTTCCTTTTTCCGGTTCTAAACACAGCCTGCCTGCCTTTCTGTGATTAGTCCGAATCACCCAATCAACAGCCCCTTTTACACTGCCAGATGTTGGCAGATGTTGACGAATGTTGGGCCGTTCTGCCGGCAAGCTGCGAGCGTTTAGACACACAGAGCCGGATTGGCGAGTTGATCCGAGGTGCCCAATTTTCCGCCTCGTAGGGGAGACATATTGGTGGAACCCCTTCAGTTTAAACAGACCGAGGCGGCCTTCCACAACGGGAGGGGCTGTTGATGACTTGTGGGAGGTGCTGTTGATGATGCCGCACGTGCGAGCCACTGGCGGTGGATAAACAGGAAACAGCTGATAGCAGGAATTAGCAGGCAGCTAGTAGCAAGAGGGAAACACAAACCTGACAGACACTGTGAAGATGAGCAACTGGGGAGACAAGGAATTGCGCGCCCTCCTTGTCCTCGCAAACGAAGAGGCCATTAACCGTCAGATGATGGGGACGGTGAAGGACGGGCCGACTTATGAGAGAATCGCAGAAGGACTGACCAGCCGTGGCTTCCCTCCCACATCACTGTTTACGTCACACACTGAGCTACATGTTTTGTTACTTGCTCACGCCCCCCATTGCCCCGAAAAAGGCGCATTCTGTATAAACAAAAGAAGTTAGGCGGCATTTTGCTGCACTCCCTGATTTTGCCAATGCTGAAAGAAGACTGTTTGGGCTTTCCTGCAAATTTGCACAACTCCTATCTAAGGGCTAATGCGTAATGTGACTGCAGATGGTTCGGATCAAGGTTGGAACACGTTCTCACCACAAACCAACTGCACCAGAGTTTGTTTGTAACCACCTCTTCAAGAAGGTCTCAGTCCGGCTGTTTTGGTGCGCACCAGAGTGCGATTGCTGTGTTCACACCTGCTCAAATGAACTGCACTTAGGGGGCAAATAAACTTGAGTTTGATTGAAGCGACCCAAACAGGGCAGGTGTGAAAGCCCCCTAAGGTTTGGCTGTTGGTTCAGACAGTGGTCCAGGGAAGGTTTCATGCCTGTAATTGTGGCATGGATCAAACTACAAAGTCTGAATGTTGAGACCAGTCCAGGTATCTGTGAAAGGATCCTCAGTCACAGCAGTCAGGATAAAAGTTTATAGGCCAGGCTGTAGTTACAGAAGAAATAAGTTCACTGTGTGTTTTCTTTCCTTTACTTTCCTTTTGCTATGCTGTGTATCTTCTGCCTTAATTTCCTTCCCTTTCATTTCTCTTTATCCTGTTCAAACATTGTCTTCAACTTTACAGTCTTTCTTTCAATTACTTTGCTGTGTTGATTTCTTCTGTTTGCCTTTTCACTACCAATTTTAATTTCCTTTACACTTCTCTTTTCCTTTTTATTCCCTTACTTGCATTAACTTTTCTGTTCTCCATTTCTTTCCATTCCCTTTCTTGACATTTCCTTATGTTCTTTCTTTTCTATTTCCTTCCTTGTTTTGTTTTGGACATCTGTTGCCCCTCCTTATTATCCTCCTCCTTTTAATTTCTTCCTTATCCTTTTCATTCCTGTGGATCTTTATCTTCTGTTTCCTTCCTTTTGTGTTAAAGGCCATTACTTTACTTTGCTTCCATTTCCTTTCCTATGATTTCCTTTGAGTCCTTCTCTTTGAATTTCCCATGTTTTGTTTTATTGTAAAGTTCATTCATTTTGTAACTTTTTCTCTTCTTTCCATCCCTTTCTTTTCCCCTCTCCTTCTCTCATCCACCTCTCAAGCCTCACAATGGTGACAGGAAATCGAAAAAGACAGTCAGCGAGATGTAAGAAAACGATAGGAGGAGACGGAGAGGGAGCTTGACATTCGTTTTTGTTTCCTCCGTCACCCATCCAACCCCGGCGAGGGATTGAGATGATGAAAAATAGGAAGAAAAGAGAGAAGTGAAAGAGAGCAACGGGAACAGAAGAAATGAGGAAGAGAGTGAAGGAAAGAGTTAGGAAGCAAAGATAAATAAAAATCTATTTTTCAGTGTAAATGGGTGCAATCAGAGTGGAGAACGTGACACAAGGGAGATGGAGAGAGTAATTCCAAGAGATGAGAGACAGAGATTGAAGAGGGCAGGGAGAATGGAGAGAGGGAGAAAAACGGGATGACATGCTATTCAGAGAGCTCTTTGGAATCAGGATGCGCTTTAACTCAGTGGGAGCATTAATTCTACTGTAAGGCACGTGAACTCACACACACACACACACACACACACCTGTAAATAGCTGCCTGTGTATTCCAAAAACAAACTATCGACCTCCTGTGGTTTGACAACCACCAATCAATACCTCCAACAAGACACTAATCACTCATTGATCACTACTGTCCGAAGATCCCTTACCATGTGAACAAAAGCCATGGACCTAAATGTTTCCTGTACTTCTGTACATATATACATGCATAGATTTTCATCCATCCCTGGCTGCATCCACCCCTCATGTCCTTTCAGGGCTGATGAGAGTGAAAATAAAGTATGGATTTGGACAGTATGGCTTTTGAATGGCAGTGGTTAACCTGGCCGGGCTGCATCTTGGCACAAAACCAATGAGAGGAGACTTCAGCTTTGTTTTACAGTTCATTAGTGTCCTCGGTGGAGCCACAGAGCATCGAAAAGAGAGGAAAGAATAAATGAGGCGTGGAACGAGGAGCAATGGAAGGATAGACAGAGGTAGGAAAGACAGGCAGAGGAATAAGAACGTTTGTAATGTGGTTTCATTTTTGAAGTTTTTGCCATGACTCTAGTTCTGTTCAGTTCTGATAACATTTATTTAAACTGCAGAGAGTCGGACTGACACGATCTATTTGGATGTTTATATTGTAATTTCATTAACTCTACAACAGAAATGGTCCACCTTCGCCTATACTGGTTTTTCTATGCCTCTGCACTGGTGATGACCATGGTCAGAGGCATTATGTTTTTGGGTTGTCCACGATATCTTGTTGTTTGCGATATCTCAAAAACACCTTGAGGGAATTTTGTCAAATTTTTGTCAAATTTGGCACAAACATCCATTTGGACTCAATGACAAACTGAATGGATTTTGGTGATCATTCTTCAAAGGTCAAGGTGACTGTGACCTCATCTGTCCCATTCTTGTGAACTAGATATATCAAGAACACCTTGAGGGATTTATTTTTAAATTTGGCACAAATGTTCACTTGGACTCAGGGATGAACCATTTAGATTTTGGTGGTCAAAGGTCGAGGTCATTGAGTCATTGCATCTGTCGCATTCTAGTGAATGCAATATCTCAAGAACACCTTGAGGGAATTTACTAAAATTTGGCACAAACCTTCACTTTGACTTGGACTGCGTAGATTTTGGTGGTTGATGGTCAAAAAATTTCACACAAATGTCTAACAGGATATAATAATGAAGTGATGACATTTTATATCCAAATGGCAAAGGTCAGTTTCACTGTGACATCATAATATTCTGCAAAAACACTTTTCTGGCCATTACTCAACGTCCACCTTGAAACTGTTCTGATTGTATACATCTTATGTGCTGTCGGGGGGAAGATGTGTGTGAGGCATCCACACAGACATTGATGTAAACTGTGAGTGCAACTTGACAGGTTTGCGGAAGCATACAACAACAATGCCGTTATTCAAGTTGCTTATTGTGAATTGCTTTTTGGAGTATCTTCAAATGCTATGCATCCCTAAAAGCTGAACAACCTAAGCTAAAAGGCTCCATATGTCAATAAACCCTAATGGAATTATTGAAATTGTGTCATAATTCTTTTATAAAATGCAAAATTCTGCATAAAATTCTTTTATTTAAATTTTAGAAAATAAACACACAAAACATTTTGATTCAAACAATTTCTAAATGTGGCAACATGAACTAAATATTTCCAAACACTTTGTTCAGTCTACACAGATTTCAGCCGAAGTGTCTCCACCAGGGTGACTCCACTATAATATGGGAGATAAACCCAAACAGCTGGTTCATTCAATGATCAGTATTAATTTTTGAGTGTGTTACATTAAAGGAATATGGGAGGAAAACTTTTTTTTTTTTCATTTTATTCAGTGAAGGGTGGATCTTCAAATGATATACGCTCACAGCAGTCATAGTTGTTCACCACATACAGTGCAGAGAGTAGATTTAATGAGGTTTTAATGGGTACATGTTCTTTTCTTGCATGCCCTGTGAATCTAAATTTGACTGCAGTTGATGTGAATTTACACATTTTTAGAAACAGAAGCATATTTCATGAGAAACAACTGGAGAAGGTCTAAAAATGCTTCAAAAATGCTGACACTGTAAACTGGACAACAGGTCGAGGTTAAGATTATTTCTCAAAATATCCACTGAAAATGCCCTTTGACCTTTAAACTACTACACTTAGTTGTTTTTAAATGTTATGTTGGATATTTTGGGACACTGTCTTTGAAGAAGAAATGGTCTAGGAGTGAGAAAACTAAAACGTTGGGATGTGTAGCTCTGAGTGGCAGCAGTTATCCTGTCCCCAGGCTACAGGGAAGGACTTAAGTTTGGTTTGGGGGTTTATTTATTTCCACAGTGCTGCATCAGAAACCAGCAAGGACAGGCCGTTTGGAAGTTTCAGTGAAAAGAAGGAAGAAATTCAAGACAGAAAAAGGAGGTGAAGCACCTTCAGAGGCAGGACAGCAAGAAAAAAATAAATGTGTGGAGATCCATTGAAGAAAGTGATGTATGTCAGAGGGGTCACCCTGCCTTACGGAGTTATCGCTCAATTAAATTCAGTATGGGTTTCAGAGGAGTTTCAGTGCGCTGTGGTGCAAACGCTGTTTCAGAGGTCTTTACAATCCTGCCAGGATAAAAAGCTCTGAGGAAACACTGAGGCAATGATTTGTCTGGTATCCTTGTAAGTCATGTGACCACAACGCACAACTGATGAGTTCATGGAAAACACCTTATGCCACTTACCACCTGTTTCCTGATTGGCCACTGCTGTTTGTTTGATAGCATGTTTAAGGCCTAGTCCACACGAGTACGGGTATTTTTAAAACTGAACTCCAGTTTTTAAAAAATCTGCGTCCATACGAACAGTGTAATAAAAATACCTCCGTCCACATGACACCGCAAATTCCACTATCAAGCAATGTAATACACATGCCAAAGCAGTAGGTGGCGATATAACTCCTGACTGTAAGGCCATTGTAGCCAATCAGAAGGCAGTAAAAAGGAAAAACAACAACAAGCCTACTATTATGCAGCAGGAGCAGTCTCTGTAATAGCACACTCTTGCGCCTCTGTTGCTGGATGTGGTTGAGTAGCGTTAGTTGTATGATACAGCCACAAAGTGCTGATATGCTGCTAAATAGCAGCAGTATTTTGTTTAGGTCTATCCTCAAATCGTCTCTCGCACACACTGTATCGGGTAATAACACAGCTGTTTTCTGTTTACGTCACACACTGTGACGTCATACAATGGAGACGAGACAAAATAACTGCGGTTATCCTGTCCACACATGACTGCTGACACCGGACTTTTCCAAAAAGTTCACCCTGGACTCCGGTTACAAATAACTCCGGTTACAGGGGCCCAAAACTGCGGTTACATGTGGATGAAAGGCCAAACCATGAGCAAAGAGTCATGGTTTTATAAATACCCACGTTGGTGTGGACAGCCCCTCAGTCTCTAGAATTACATGCTCTGTAAGTTGTGTCCAGATCATTGTCTTTTTTGTCACCTGTTTTCCCCCATTTGTCATCTTTTTATATTACCTATATATTTAATTAATTTTAGTTTTATTTTTTGGTTGGTGTGCAGGCATTGTTTTGCTATTGAATGAGACTTAATGGGACAGTCTACCTCAAAAACCTCTCAAAAATACATGTATTTAGAGCTGTTTATCACTCTAGATTGTTTTGGTGTTGGTTGCAGACTGTTGGAGATGTCGGCCATAGAGATGTCCAACTTACCCCTAATATAATGGAACTAGATGGCACTCAGCTTGTGGTGCTCAAAGGGCCAAAAAATACATTTAAAAAACTCAACAGCAATGTCTCTTTCCAGAAACCATGGCCCAGTCAATCCACACACCTTGTTGTGAGCAGTGGAGCCAGGGAACTCCATCCAGGAACTATTTTTTTTCTACCGAACTAATGAATCATTGTGCAGAAGGAAGCGTGCATCTACTGTTAGCTCACCTAGCACCATGAGCTAGCTAATGTTACGGGCTCATCTGAGGATGGCGCTTTTAATGTTTAAATCTTGCACTGTCACAAGCACAAGCCTCTCGCCATGAGTAGATGCACACTTCCTTCTGAATCTAGCTCCATTATATTGGAGAGATTGCAGACATCTCTACAGCCGATATCCCCAACACTCTGCAACTCACACCAAAACAATATAGATTGATAAACTAACTAACGGTAAGAAGAAAAATACGTATTTTTGATTGTGGGGTGAACTGTCCCTTTAAAAACATGCATGCTATAAATACCACGTGGAAGTGCTTTATAGTATAAAACCAACCAAAGTGTATCTGTTTGTTTACCATGAAAAAAGAAATGTTCATCTGATGTCATGAGTGATGACCTCAGTGAGTACTTAGCATAGGTCTGCCAAGCTTCACTATGAAAAGAAGTTCAGTCTGCCAAGAAATCTAACAGCTCCTGTGTGGGTTACACTGAAGAAACACTGTGGTATGGTACCGTCGCGTTGCCCTCCAGCAGTTCATGTGCAGTGATGGGTTTGTCCAGGCTCGGTTTGCCCACGTAGATGTCGCCGTCCTGGGGAAAGGCCGAGAGCAGAGAGAGGAGAGCCTCTGGGTTCATGTAGTTATCATCGTCCACATGACAAAACCACCTGAGGAGCCACAGAGGGAAGGACAGGAAAAGAATGATACAGTTAAAATATAATGGTCTGGGATTCTCCACTCCTCTCCATCTCTGCAGTTTTCTAGTTTCATTCTTCCACAGCTCTCAAAAGTTGACCATTGCCTGAACTACCATAGATGAAGCAAACAATGGTTGTATTTGGGGAGGAGGTCATAACCCTTGGCTTCCTTGTTCAAGGGTGATCAGTTGGGGATCATATCCATGTGTAAATCGCAGATACAAACTTATTTCTAAAATAGAGTTTAAAAACTTCTTTCCAAAGAGTAAAAGAAAAAATACAGGGAAAACAACAGCACTCCGGCCTTCCTCCGTTCGTCCAAATTTCCTGTTGTCCTCATAACATGAAATCCACTGTAATACTCTGTGAGTGTTTAAGCTGTTTAATTTCCACCTGAATGACTGGACATGATGTCGAAGCCTCGTTCCAAACCAAACAGACTTTTACTTCAACATCAGCGTCCAAATGACAAAGCTGCTGGTACAAAACGGAAGTGCTGTATTGTTTCCTCTGCCATCCTAATGGCTGCCCAACAACACAAAAAGGCTTTCTTCCAAACTAAACAGCCTCACGTCCCTTTCAGTCCAAATAACAAAGTGGGCCCTGGAACCAAACTGAAACGCTCTTTCATTTTGCCTGCCATCTTAATGACACGACAGCGGTCCAAGCCTTAGTCACACACCAAACACAAGCTGTTGAGCCTCATTGTATTTTCCACAAATCAAAATTATGACTGAGTATCAGCAACACATTGTCCAATATGATGTACGGCAGCCTCAAGCCTCAGTGTCGTGAGTTGAAACCAAGTCAAAAGAAAATCCAAATCACTCACAGTGTGTGATGTAATTCATACATGATGTGGCCCTCTCAAAATAATGCTTTCTTTTTATTGTCATGTTTTTATGATCGCTATGGAAATGGGTTAAGATAAACCTGCATCCATTTATTTGGCCACTTGGGGGCAGCAGAAACAAACTATCATAACAACACTAACGTATCACCTGGTTCAAATGCTATCACTCAATGAAATTAGTAGTGGTTATCAGAGTCCTGCTACAGTGACTATAATGTTCGGAATGCCATTATTAGCACATTAAACAGCCATGTTTATTGGAATGCAGCAATTAAAGGGAAATTTCGGTTTATTTCAACCCATCTCCTATCTTCCTAAATTTGTTTCAAGTGACTAGTGACATAAAAATAATAGTTAGCATGTTAGCCGTTAGCCTAGATACAGCCGGGGTGCATAGTAGCGTCAGACCTGTTAAAACGTAAGTGAACGGGCAACCTTCAAGTGCAAAGTTAGTCCACTAAACAAGCTTTTTTTCCACAAAGACCGCCTCATATCGTTAGGATAAATGTCAGAGAACATATAGAAAACGACATGTAAACGTGTTGTCTTACCTTACCGGTGTGCTGCCATGTTTGTTTACCATCTAGCTCTGCTTTCCAAAGTGCAGCCGAAATATCGCGAGAACACGCAGCGATCTCATACCGTGCCTGAACAAGCAGCAACAGCTGGAAGGCAGAACCGGACAGTAGCCTGAAAAGTTCATTCATTTATTTATGAAAGATTTATAGAATAACAGCTGACTTTTTGCCAGACTTCGACTTTGTGGAGGAGGAATTTGACTTTGCAGAGTTTGATGGCCGCCCTTATTTATTTGAGCCAGAATACACTGACGAAGAGCTTCGTGAAATTGAAGAACGGAGGAGGAGAGAGAGAGAGAGAGGCGCAACAGGTAGAGGACGAGAGAGGAGGAATGGCTGCTGCAAGGCTGCGTAGCTCTGGAGATTGGTGGTGTACCTGTGAATGCTGTGCCCCAGTGCCCACAGAAGAGGAATGCCTCTGTTGCAAGGAATGGGACCGGTTGCAGCCTTATTTTCAAGGTCTGGATGTGACCGAGGACGAGACACCTCCACCTGGAGTAGTATCCAGCTGGGCTTTATCTAGAGCTCGCGAGATATATTTCAGCCGCGCTTTGGAAAGCAGAGCTAAATGGTAAACAAACATGGCATCACACCGGTAAGGTAAGACAACGCGTTTACATGTTGTTTTCTATATGTTCTCTGACATTTATCCTAACGATATGAGGCGGTCTTTGTGGAAAAAAAGCTTGTTTAGTGGACTAACTTTGCACTTGAAGGTTGCCCGTTCACTTACGTTTTAACAGGTCTGACGCTACTATGCGCCCCGGCTGTATCTAGGCTAACGGCTAACATGCTAACTATTATTTTTATATTATTAGTCACTTGAAACAGATTTAGGACGATAGGAGATTGGTTGAAATAAACCGAAATTTCCCTTTAAGAGAGTCCGCTGACATAACAGCAACAGTATAAAGAGTGAGAAAGCTTGCATGGGACGTCGGTCAGGGTGATGGTCGGAACACACACCGGACTTTCACCCAGAAGACCCGGTGTGTCCAATATAAAAAAATTTTAAGTATGTGATGTATGTCAAATTAAGTATTTCAGATGATGTATAGCACTTATGTGCGACATACATCACTCAACATACTTATTTTAAGCCAAACCATGATGTTTTCCTCTAAACCGACCACGTAGTCTGTGCTTCAAGACCTGATGAAAGTGCCAACAGGTATTCAATGGTTGACAACATTCTGAACAGACTAGTCGGTGTAGCAGACGTGTTTTAACCCATATCTATGACACAAATAGCCACTATTAATGATCACTTAAAGGTCCAGTGTGTAGGACCAAACATCAACCTTCTGGACTAAAAACTGAAGCCCCCATTGAGATGTCAAAAGCTGCAGTTCTTTGAATGGCCACTTGAGGGTGGCTCCAGAGAGTCAATATGTTAAAATGCTCAAATTTACAGCAGAAATAGATATGTTTACAGCCTGGTACAAAAAATGGTTCTGGTCTTCATAGTTTACTTCCCTGTTCATTATGACTGTACAGCAGTGAATTTTTCTATAACTCATCTATTTACATTTTATTAAGGCTTAAAGTTACACATAATTAAGGGCGTAGCTTCTTTGAGTCACAGGCTGTATGCCAATACTGCCCTTGGCTTCTCAGTCAGAGCCACCCCTCCCTCCTCCACAGCTCCTCCCTCTCATCCAAATATGGTCACTTCTGGCTCCAAAAAAGCAAGATGGCAGCCGCTGAAATGCCGAACTCAAGGCTTCAAAACGAGAGTCCAGAAGCCAGTGGGTGATGTCACTGTAGCTACGTCCATTATTTTACAGTCTATGTGTAAGACTTAAGAGGATCTAGTGGTGAGGATTGCAGATTGCAACCAGCAGACACTTCTCCCAATTTGAATTCCTTCAGTCTTTATGGTTCAGGAATTTTTCACAGGGTGCCAAATTATTCACAGAGGTCTCCTCCGCTCCAAAACAAATGGATCAGTTGATTAAAACTGGTTAAAACACTGAATAAAGCAATTTCACGTGCAAATCAATGTTTCTCCAATGCTGTTTGGCATGTCAGAGACAGGCTGCAAGCCCAGCACCTGTTAATGTGCGCTCACCTTATTTCTGATCCAGACATTCAGGGGTTTTTTTACCGGGAGCGGAATTATCCGCAGAGGTCTCCTCCTCCCCAAAGTGTTTTTTCAACGCACGGCCGCTAACTACGATGGCCGACAAGAAAATGCGAATGAGCCTATCTAGAGCCAGGGTTTGTCCATTCTGGGCTACTGTAGAAACAGTGTGGCAACATGGGGATTTCTGTAGACAAGGACCTGCTCCCTATGTAGATATAAACTGTTGATTCCAAGGTAACGAAAACACAAAGATTCTTATTTTCAGGTTATTATATGCTAGAGAAAACATTCTTATCATAGTGTATTCCATTTCTACCAATATAGCCCCCCTAAATCCTGCACACTGGACCTTTAATCAAGTCATAACATTCAAAATGGGTAACAGACATAAACACATCCCTAAACCAACAGGCTGCTGTTCACTAACTAAGTTTGCCTATCTTCCTAATGTAAGTCCAATATTTGTCTCTTTTCAGCTCTGTTTTTGGTCTCCACTAACTTCTGAGAAAACATTTCACTCCTCAGCTGCTAAATGCTCCAATATTTTCACTTGTTAGACGCTAACTTTGTCTGCCTGGCATTTGGTGCAAGTAATCAGTTTGCAAAGAGAGAGAAGGAGGCCCTCTGCTTTGCCCACACTGTTTGAATGACAAATGACCTGTGGAAATACTGTGCAAGCAGCGACAACAAACATGTTGACAAAATAAAAACAAAGGATTTCCAATATTACCCCTGTAATTAAACCGTAGTGATTCTCACCGGTGTATTTATGCTTATGTAACCCTAGAAGATTATTTACTTCTTTGATTTCTCCTTTCACCACCTGCTGCTGCTGTGACAGCCCGATTTCCCCGCGGCGATCATTAAGGTTTGTAATCTTAATCCGATCTTTAAATCCAGTGTGGGCAGGGTGATAGATGGACTTTAATGTGTCTCACCTCTTGTCAGAGGCCATGAAGCCGTCGTACTCGGCAGACATCTTGCAGGACAGAGCCTGCTGGCTGTGATCTGACTGGCAGCCTGTGACCACCATGTTATAACCTGGACAGAGAGACAGAGGGAGAGGGATGTGTATTTGATTTATACAACTGGATTTTCTCTGCTTCAAAGGTGTTTCACATGATTATATTGTGGGTACTGACAAGTATGTTATATAGTATTTTCTAACCAAGTTTGGCTATTATAATCAGAGGATGTAAATTAGATTTATTTGCAAATGATGGGTTCCTACTGCTGGGGGGGAACGGGAGATTGTGAGGAAAGGGATAGGATGAAGAGAAGAGAAAAATGAGAGGGAGGAAGAGAATAAAGGAAGGCCAGAGCAAAATTAGAAATGTACAGAGCCATAAAAAGCTTCAGTTAAGGGGACTAGCCGTAACTTTGAAAAACACAAATTATATGTCCACATACTTTTGTCCATACTGTGTGTACTTCTAAATCTAAATTTGAGACTTGTTTGCTGCTTACCTTCCGAACGTAAATCCTCATCCTCCGTGTCTGTGAAAATGAAAGTCTAGACAAAAAGAAAAAAGAGAGAGACAAGTAAGGGGATTTAAATCCACCAGCTTTGATTATTTCCGTCTTCTTCTTCTACACATCTCTAACAGGACGTCCTGAAAGCACCTTCATTAAGGACTGAACACACACAAACACACACACACACACAGGATCAATATTGTTTTTAAAGGAGCAAATTCGATGTGACAAAAACAAGGTTCCCCACTGTGAGCTTAAAAATTAGTCACTGCACGCCGACACAGAACAAACACACACACACACACACTAATACACGTTTATGATCCAAAGAAGTCCACAGAGTGCTATATGACAGAGTCAATTTGTTCTCTGGCAGACATGGAGTCACACACACTCACAAACATCTTAGTGATACCCCTCTCACAGCCCTCACAGCCTGTTCTTACACCACATAGACAGATCTTTGGTACAACACTGACCTCTGGTGGTGTAAAACTGTAAAAGCACTCTACTATTGAAGCTCTCAGGCTGCAGATTCAGTTTTATTTTACTAATTTCTATAATCTAAATCAGTGGTCTTTGACATTTTTCAGGCCCAGGACCTTTAGCTCAAAGGGAGACTGACCAGAGACCCCTACTATGTATATTAAATCAACATATAAAACTGAGTTGCACTTGAGACAATCCTCAGAGTATGTTCGGATCTTCTCTTGTTTGCCCTTGCCTGCAGCTGCTAAGTTCAGTCAGCAGTAGTTGTAGCATGGCTAGGTGCATTGGCATCACCCTCTGCACCCTCGCCACTGTGGTTTCTGAGGTGAACGGTATGTCAGACTCTCTTGCTCGAAAAGTTACAAATCAATCCATTGTAGCCCACAAGAATGCCCATACACTTGGGATAATAATACAACTAATTGGCCAATATGTTTCAATAGGACATAAATGTTAGCTAAGTAGTTCACCTCCCTGTTACGAATAAGTGCTGCATGGTGATTTAGCATTAGCTAGCTCACATACCATAAAGCTTCAATTAAAAGCCCGGTGTGGGAGCACATTTTGACCAATAAAGGCCTGTCTCAATTAGACGCCTGGTCTGGTTGCCAAGCAGTTTATTTCTATAGAAGTTTTTTGGATGTATAAACCATGTTGTTGGCTACCCACCTGAGCTAACCTTAGTTAGCTGCCAGCTGTTACACATCGTTAGCTCGGTTAGATTCTCCAAAACTCAATTGATCAGTTAATTTTACCAGAATGTGAGCACCAGAGAAGACCGTAATTCATTCCGATTTACCAGCATGAAGAAAAAACAAGTGGGGACTCCCTTCCTCTGAAGCTGCCATAAGTACTATTCGGACGGGATTAGTTTTATATAGGGATGTGGACTAATGTCAGTTTACCATAGGATGTCTGTAATATAAATGTCCGATTCGCACGGGACAAGAAATCTCCATAATTCTACCAGAGATGGGAGCGGTAACTCAGTTTGTGCCCTGGCGTCACCTCCCTGATGGCATGTGCGTGCTACGTTGCTTCCTGTAAGCATCACATGAAGGATAATAATAATAAGTAATGATTAACCCAATGTGAAATATTGCCCATGATCAGGATTGTGTGTACACGATTAGCAATATGAATTTATATTAGGCCTACCTAACACAACCAGAAGTCTCGTGGCTCTGAAAAGTGCTTTCTTCTCGACTTTTTTGATTGGTCTCCCACGTAGGGCTATGCCATCATTAGAAGAATGTCCACTATCACGATTGCCGACAACACCGAATGCTTCTTCAAGCGCCTCCGTCATCGAAAAATGCATAAAACTAGTTGTAAACAAAAAAATGGTTGTAAACAGGACATGACGAAATATTTACATTCATTTTTACAGAGGATTGCGTTCGCACAGAATTAATATTATCCGAGGTATCTTCTCCGAACTGTGTTACAGAAGGTAAAAGTCATCAATTTTTACTGACATTATCCGTAATGATTACAGACATGGCGCGTTTGGACGGGACTAAAATCCCTGGTAATAAATACTTTACCCCACGTCTCCACGTTAAACTAATCCCGTCCGAATAGGGCTATAAAGTCAGAATATGTGCCCATTCCTTGATTACCCAGTGAGTGAGTTATTCAAATTCCTTAAGTCCATGAGGGTCCGCTGATCAAAAGAATCAAAGGGGTTTTTCATAAAAATTAATCCACGCTGTGAATATTGTTTTAACAGGATAAAGTGGTGTGTCAGTATGCCGGATGCTGTAACCCTTGAAACGAATCCTATGAAAAGAGTGTCATAACGTTTTCTCTCTCTGTGATGCCCTGTATTGTCAGAGCTAGATCAAATGAGTGATTCATAATTGATGTTATTTGAAGCCTACTTTTTATACAAGTAATATTCATGCTGGTTCAAATAAACAATTTGATTATATTTCCCATCTTTGCTGATTATCATTTTTTTGTGAAGGGATTTAAAGGCCTGTCCAAAATACAAGCCTGTTGAGTTCAGTGATGATAGTGATAGTTAAGTTTACAGTTTCTTAAATCTAAAAGGAGAGTGCTGCCAAAACATACCATTACTTACCATGAAAAACTATTACTAAACGAAGTAATAAAAAATGTAGTTGTAGAAATACATAATATTGTATTATGTAATTTAAACAGTACATTTTTTTTTTCAGTTTAATTTTCTTTATTTATTTCTCAAGGGATTTATGTGGCAAACAAGTTTGCAAAGACAAATACACATAAAATAACCCTGGCAGAGGATAAAAATGAGTTCATAAGCAAAATCAATCTGAAGATATAAAAACGTAGGTTGAGCTCTAGATTCAAATGTTATCGCTCAATGGATGAATGCATGCATATGCAGTCTATTTGCAGACTTCCATGGACAAATGTACTGTAATATTACATATATTACAGTACATTTGTCTGGATGGATGGATTTTTGGATGGATTTTTTCTAAATGCAAAATCACTTTAAATTCCTCTAAAATTCCCAGACATTTAAGAAATTACACAACCAGTTGGAATCCTGCCTCAGTTTCTCAGTCTCATGTAGCAGACTTCAAATGAAAGATGAGAAATCTTTATAGTGCATGAGTCACTGACACTGAGCAGGTTTGCACCATGGGATTTAAACAGGCAACCTTTGCGTCACACTCCATCGCCACAGCCCCTCAGGCTGAACCGTGCGGTGTGTTCAACTTCCTTTGCCAGGCAGACACTAAATAACCTCAGAGTGGAACAAATCATCCGTTAGATATGATAAACACAACCCATAACTCATGTTTTATTCAGCTCCTAGAAACGTATTAATGTGTCTTTCTGAGTTTTGGCTGGAAAACGAGAATTCTAAAAATGTTTCAAACATACATTTTAAAGCGTTTTGAAATAGCTCTGTTGAAGCGGCAACAACATACAGGCCTGTATCATATTCAGATCTGACACACTGAGATAAAACACTGAGAGTAACAGAGAGAAAGAAAATAATGGCGCAAATAAGGGATACGAATTCTGCATACGACCTCAAATATCAACAAACCTATAATGTGAATACAGTTAAGTTCCTGACATCTTTGGATTATAATTTTATGCTCACACACCCATCTAGAAACAGAATACGGATTCATGACAACACCTGGAGGGGAGGTCAGAAACAAAAAGAAAAACTGTTTATTTGGAAATATCACATATTCATTAATTCATTAATTTTCCATAACCTCATCTTATCCTGTTGGGGATCATGGCGGGGCTGGAGCCTATCCCAGCTGACATTGGGCGAGAGGTGGCGTACACCTGGACAGGTCACCAGACTATCACAGGGCTGACGCATAGAGACAGACAACCATTCACACTCACATTCACACCTACGGACAATTTAGAGTCACCAATTAACCTGCATGTCTTTGGACTGTGGGAGGAAGCTGGAGCACCTGGAGAAAACCCACGCTGACACGGGGAGAACATACAAACTTGGCACAGACAAGCTGCCCAACCTGGTATTCGAATCGCTCACCTATTGCTCCAAACCAGGAACCCTCTTGCTGTGAAGCGACAATGCTAACTACTGCACCACCAAGCCGCCAAAACATCACATACAAATCCATCCATCCATTTTCATCCGCTTACCCGAAGCTGGGTCTCAGGGGCAGCAGGCCAAGCAAAGCACCCCAGACGTCCCTCTCCCCAGCAACACTTTCCAGCTCCTCCTAGGGGACCCCAAGGCGTTCCCAGGCCAGATGAGATATTTAATTACTCTAGTGTGTTCTGGGTCTGCCCCGGGGCCTCCTACCAGTGGGACGTGCCCAAAACACCTCAAGCAGAAGGCGCCCAGGAGGCATCCTGATCAGCTGCCCGAACCACCTCAGCTGACCCCTTTCAACACGAAGGAGCAGCAGCTCTACTCCTAGCTCCCTCCAGATGTCTGAGCTCCTCACCCTATCTCTAAGGCTGAGCCCAGACACCCCACGGAGGAAACTCATTTCAGCCACTTGTATCCACAATCTCATTCTTTCGGTCACTACCCATAGCTCATGACCATAGGTGAGGGTTGGGACATAGATGGACCAGTAAATCGAAAGCTTCGCCTTCTGGCTCAGCTCCCTCTTCACCACAACGGTCCGGTGCAGTACCCGCATCAATGTGGACTCCACACCAAACCATCGATCCATCTCACGCTCTATTCTACCACTTGTGATATATTACCCTCACATAGATATATCAAAATGAAAAAGTATGAGGAAAGAGGATACATAACAGCATAAGCCTATATTTAAAATGATGGCAGCAGAATTTACAGACAAAATACAATTAATGCAACATGAATGCGATTCACAAACTCATGAATATATTGTTTTTATATCAAGTGAATTAGAAATGACAGGGAAGGCAAGAGATGTGACTTAAACCAGCTGTGTGTGTGTGCGTGCGTGTGTGAGTATGTGTGGGTGGGTGACTTTTAAAGAGACAGAGATAGGAAAAGAGGAGATAGTCGGGTTAGAGTGTGACGCGATTAGGGTGTGAAACTGAACTTCCCACGAT